AAAAAAAAAAAAAAAAAAAAAAAAAAGAAAGATTAATCAAGCCTCCCAGTGGTGCCTCTAGAAATTAAAAAAAAAAAAAAAAGTATAGGCAGGAAACATTAGTTTTATCCTTTATTCTATATTGAGATTTTTTTTATTTGCAGTTTGATATTTGGGGTGGAATACTGCTTATTTTTTGTTATTAGGAGAGTAGACTCATTGGATTTTGTCCTATGCTCTTCATTTATGTGTGTCACTGAAGGTAAAATGACCCCTAATATGTGAGGCAGCAAGTAATCAGTGCCATTTGCTCCCTTGAAGAACGGTTTCCCAAAGTTCACCTTGGCCCTATTTGTCTCAGACCAAATGCATCCTTTATGTCCCTTCAACACTAACTGCCTTCTCATGGTCAAATTCTTAAGTGGCTCTTTGGTTAAGGATAAGCCTGACCACCCAACAGACACTTTAGTGGTGGATTGAAAACAACGCCTCTAATAATTAACTCACCTTTCTTCTGGCAAAAAATAAAAATACAAGAGCTCAGGCTAGGAGAGGATATGTTTATATTTCACACCTTAGTCACAGATCTAAGTGGCATCCTAGGGCCAGTAGCACTAACCGTGTGGCCTAATAGCATTCCCACTGAGGACAAACAATTCAGAAGTGAAGCCTTGAGATTTAAAAAAGACTTTCAGAAGTTACCCTGGGAGGGCTTGACTTAGGTTGATCACAGGTCAGGAGGAGTGCACGCTAGAGGGGAACGCAGGAGAGGAGAACAGGGTACCAGGCCAGACACGCTTAGGATGGGTAGGGTTAACTACAAGGTAGCTACAAGAACTTCTAAGGCTTTCTTTATTTCTGCATGATTTTCCCTTTAAGTGACTTATTTATTAGGCTTAGTCAGGTACACATTATGGATAGTTCAAATGAACAGACACAGCTTGACTCTGGAAGGGAGTGGAAAGCAAGATTACTAGATTTAAGACTTTTGGATGCAAAATAGATGTATTCATAAATGTACATAAATGACGGCCAACTAGAAATAACACTGTTCATGACACAGAGAATTTCAGACTCTGCCCTTCTGTCTCCCAAATGGAAGGGCAGTGAGCTGTGTTCCAGCAAAGTCCTCATTACTTGGGGAGTTTGGCTACTCTAGCACCTGGGTCAATTCCAATTGTGCTAGTTAACTAACATATTAATGTAAACACAGGATACCATGATATTATAAAAAGAAACATGGAATTTTCTTATTTTAGAAATAAGCAAAACACTCATCTCTTTTATAATTAACTACAATTTTACTCATTAACTTTATGAAAATCTGCAACAATGAAGAACTGTTAGAACTATATCATTTTCTAAATTTGAGAAAGCTCTTAGAAAATGACATTTTCACTACAAATCACACCTTCAGTCATAGCACTTCGTACCTATTAAGTACATTTAAATTAATCTACACACATCTGGACAACTACTTTAACTCACATACAGCACTTACCTTCAAACCGAAACAATTTAGGAGAGATTGGCAGAATACTGTCATTTTATAAAAGAAAAGATAAAGTTTAAATACATTCTTGTTACCAGAACCATGTAAGCTGTAAAAAGGTAGTCTGGAGTGGTCAGTGGACACACATCTTCTCTTAAGACCACAGTAAAAAAGTGAAATGGCCTGGGTACCACAAAAGGGCCCTTGTTTCATTGGTCAGACAGCACTGGGAGCTGCAGTCTTTGGTCTGGCCCAGGGCACTGCTTTTTACATTGCTTAGGGGAAATACCAAGAAACCAAATGTTCCTTATGAGGTTTCAGTTTCCTTAAGAATTTGATCACATTGCATGCTTTAAAAACTAGAGATTGCTATCAGAAGTCAGCCTAGAGGTCACCCTGGGAATGGAGGATGGGAAGTGGCTGGAAGGGGGTTGAAGGGGAGCTTCTAGGAAGCTGACACTGCTTTTCCTTAATCTGGATATTAACTACATGGGAGTGTACAGTTTGTGGACTATACATTGAGCTATACACGCATGAGATACTTTTCTGTGTGTATATTAACTTCAAAAGAGTTTTTTTAAAGTTTTAAAAAAGGACTATAAAGCGTAAAATTTTATGCTACAAGTCTGGATTTATGACATGCCTCGACGTCATATAGGGTAGAAAACATTTTGCAAATAGGCTAATAGACCATGGACCTTTATATCTAAGCCATATCAGGTGGGAAAGTGTACATTTTTACGTCTCAATTTCAAGGTTTCTTTAGGACAAGTGTTAACACGTAAGTTCATGTTTAATTACACTAGAAATCACTGAGGCGGGAGTAGAGAGTGGGAAGGGCATTAGGTACAAAGACCACAGAGCTGCTTTCCAAGCCTGTTTCCATGACTCACGGTCTGAGAGAGGCACCTAATTAATGTACTTTACAGTCTATATGTAAAATGGGAAAACGACATTAGCAACACCTACCTTGGAAGGTTTATATTGAGATTAAAAAGATTATTAACAGAGAAAACATCATGAGCAAACAGTATTTGTATTTACATATAAGTGTTCTGTGAAGGCCCCCTCCATAAAAAGGAACTTTTCAATGGTTGTCAATACCTTTTCAACTGAGTTGTCAATGGTTTCACTGTGGCTATCTGCAGATCCCTAGTGCACTCTGAGGACTGTCAAAAACCAAGAAGCGTGGACACATTTGATCGTAATGCCCCAGGTTTTATCACTAGCTCATTTAAAATGTTCACTTATTTATTCTACCCTCTTGTACACATCCCTTTATTTTCTTCCAGGAGCCCGACAGCCAGAGCAAGTGAGGGAGGAGGGAGGCACGCCTGTCAGGAGCAGTCGGGGGCACAGCAGGGAAGCGGAGGAACGGCCTGGGCTGGGCTGCAGGCCGGTGCGGCCCGCCGCAGGGGACGATGCTCCCAGGCCCTCACGTTTTCCAAGAGAAGTCCACAAAACATTTTTTCTATGTAAAATCTCCTGATATTTCTGTGTTGGCAACGGATTCACATGTTTAAAAAATCACTATGTATACCAAACAAAAATAAATCTGCAGGCCAGATTGCACCCATGGACTGCCAGTTGCAACTTCCTAATGGTTAATTCCAATGACACTACTTTATAATCTCTAAACTTTTCCTTTTTTCTATGTACCAACCTCTTACTTCATTCCTAAGCCTGTATTTTCCCCACCATATACACTAAAGTTTGCCTCTGATGAGCAGGCCTGCAAAAATGAACATAGTGCTCAGGGTACAGAACATCTTGCTGGTATAGTTTTTTCATTTTCACTTTTACTCTTTTTTAATCCCCCCCTCCTTTTTCTCAGAAAAATTATTTTCCTCTCTAGCTTAAGCAAATGCATGATACAT